TGTTCAAACACATGAGCCTATGGGGGATATTTCTCATTCAAACCATCACAGTCTACTCCCTGACCCCCACAGGCTCATGGCCATATCATAATGCAAAATGTATCTAGTCCAACTTGAAAAGCCTCCATACTCTTTCACAGTCTCACCTCTATTTCAGAAGTTCACAGTATCTTTTGAGACTCAAAATAATCTCTTATCTATAACCTTCTATAAAATAAAAGCAAAATGCATACTTCCAATATACATTGACACAGAATATATATTTCCATTGAAAAAGTAGGGAATGGAGACATAGTGAAGAAATACCAGACCAAAGCAAGATCGAAACCCAGTAGGGCAAAAAACAAATCCTGTAGCTCTCTGTCCAGTGTCTACAGCTTTAGATCCCAAGGACTTAAATGGCTCTGCTCCCAGCATACATCATTCTCATGCTGGTTCCACTTCCTATATGCAGCTCTCCTTGGCAGATGTCTCACAGGTCTGGTATCTCTGCCATCATGGTATCCATCACAACCCAGGCTTTACTTTCACAGCTTCATGAATTAGACTCTAATGGCCTCTTGCCCTCTCAGGGCCTTCACACAGGGACTTCCACAGCACACTTAGCAGTTCTCTGAAACTGAGTAGGGAGAATCTATGGCCCCCTCATTCCAAAGCGTCAAGTGAATGACACTGACAAGTTCAACTTCTAGCTTGGAATGAACTCTCATCCCCTTGGACCACATTAGCAACAGCTTTTGTATACTGAAACATCTGCTTTCTAGGAGCAAGCAACCCCTTAGGCTTTCTTCTTTCACTTGATGGAGCCTAGCTGGGAGGAGTCTTGCCCTGGGGTTACCCTTCCCATTGTTCAGTGCAGACCAGGAGGCCTCTCCTTAATGGTGCTAATCTCCTTAGCAATTACAGCCTCTTTTCCAGCTCCAGCACATGCACCGGCTGTAACATTAAGCTTTTAGTGTTTTTTTTTTCCTCTCCAAACTATACATTGTGTATTTCCTTGTGTATCACTTGCTCTTTGTCAGTGCAACTGTATAAGAGTTATCAGTAATAAGCATTCCAAAGACTCAACATTATGCTGTCTTAGAATCTCCTCTGCCAAAGAAATTAGTCCATTAACTTTCAAATTCAGCCTCACATAAATTCTCAGGACACAGGCAGAAAACAGCCAGATTTTTGCCAAATATAACATATGCATGGCCCCTATATATAGTCAAAAGACCTTGTTCCTGCTGAAACCTCGTGATCCATGTCTCCACAGTCCACACTGCTCTCAGCACTACTATATTAAAGGCTCCTACCAGACTGGGCTATTAAGCTCTTCTTACAACATTCATTTTCCTAGCTCAAAGTTCCAAATACTTGCACATTGCTCAAAAAAGCAACGTGGTCAGGTACTTCACAGGAACCATCCCACATCCCCTAGTACCACTTCTGTATTAGTTACTTTTCTGCTGCTGTGATTAAAATACCATGACCAAAAGCAACTTAGAGAGGAAGAGTTTATTTTGGCTTATGATTCCAAAAGGGTCCATAATGGTGAGAAAGACATGGCAGCAAGCAGCCAGAGCAGGAAGCTGGCTGCTCATATTTCATCGTCAGCACACCAGGAAATACAGAGAGCACTGGAAGCAGGGTGAGGCTATAAATTCTAAAGCCCACACCCAGCAAAGCTCCATCACCTAAGGGTTCCATAACTTCCCCAAACAGTACAACCAACAGAGGACCAAGTATTTAAATACATGAGCCTATGGGGGACATCAGTCATTCAAACAACCACAACCCTTAATGGCTAGACCTAAGAGTGATCAAGCTATCTATTCAACTACAATCAAGTTAGATTTGTATCAAGTTAGATTTTTATTACTTTCACCTTAAGATACATTAAAAATACTCTAAATGCCACCTGAGGGATAAAGAATGTCAAAAATGCTATTACAAATTGGGGAAAAGAAACTGATTGTTTTTTAATAGGGGTTAGTTTTTTAGACAGGGTCTAACTCTGTAGCACAAGATGGCCTCAAATTCTTGGTGATCCTCATGCTCCAGCCTCCTTAGTGATGGAATTACAGGTGTAAGCAATCATGCCCCCAAAAGAAACTGATTTTATACATTGATTTTTATTTTGTTTTGGTTTAGTTTGGTTTTTTGACACTGGGTCTCATGTAGCTCCATGCTGACTTCAAATTTACTTTGTAGCAGAGGCTGACCTTCAACTCCTTAATCCTTCTGCTTCCACCTTCCAAGTGCTAGGATTGCAGAGATGTAATACCACATCCAGCAAGAAACTGATTTTTTTAGCTGAAAAACAGCCTGATGTGTTCTATTCACCTTAAGAAATGAGATTCAAGTCAAGTGGTACTTCAGACCCATAATCCCAGCAGGCAGAGGCAGAGGCAGAGGGATCTCTGAGTTTGAGGCCAGCACGGTCTATAGCGAAACTTTATCTCAAAAAAGAAAAAGGTAAAAGAAGTGGGTTTCAACTTTAACCACTTAAAGTTCACATTCCCAGTATACTATCATATTAAGAAATACTTGTAAAAAGAACTTCCCTCATATATCCCCTACTTTGGTTAGTAGAACACCAGCCTTTCAAGGCAAAATCTTTGGTGCCAATCTACAATTTTCCTTCTCCATTTCCCCATTCTTCCTACTTCCTCAACCAAAATGACCAAGTCCTATCATTTTTTCCTAAGTGTTCTTAGAGCCGGGTGTGGTGGCGCACACCTTTAATCCCAGCACTTGGGAGGCAGAGGCAGGCGGATCTCTGTGAGTTCAAGGCCAGCCTGGTCTACAAAGTGAGTTCCAGGACAGCTGGGGCTACAGGGAGACCCTGTCTCAAAACGACCAAAAAAAAAAAGAGAAAATTCTAAGTGTTCTTCCAGTCAATCCTCTCCATAACCTCTGCTACTGCCTAGTCCACACCTTTTTTTCTCACCTTATCTGAAACAGCTATCCCAACATCACTGCCTCAGTCACCCTTATTCCACAGCAATCAGGGTGATTTTCCAGTTACAACCCTAGTATCTCTTCTGCTCAAAATTTCAACTGTCTCTATCACCTACAGACCTAAGCTATTAATATCAAATAATAGCCTAACCTATTAATAACAGAATATAACTTTCTATGATTTGAGTCCTGCCACATCACACTGTGATCACCTCATGAAACACTTTTTTTTAAGACAATCTAAATTTGTATCCCAAATTCAAAATCTTCCTGCTTCAACCTGTGCTGTAATTACAGGTATGTACCACATCCAACCTGCATCCAACACTTTAAGCCTCATCAATATCAAGCTATACTACTTGAATTTCTAGCATACACATCATGCTAGTTATCTATAGCCAACATTTTCCTCTTTGGATTCCTGGATAACTGCCATGTATCTTTAAGATTCAGCTTATGTTTAATGAGAACACTCAGTCAAGTGCTTGTCCCACACTAAGTATAAGAACCTGAATTTGCTCCCTAACACCTAAGTAAAAAGTCAGGCATGGTGGCATATACTTGGAGCCCCAGTGCTAGGGAGGAGAAGACAGGAAGAACCCTGGAGCTCACTGGCCCGTCAGCCTAGCCTAATAAAAATAAATAAAATAAAATTCAGCTTAGATCCCAGGAAAGCACCTAAGCCTTACTATTATTATTGTTTTCCATTTTGTGAACTCTGTAGCTAACACTGGCACTTAATGGGCATTTACTATGTCCCTGCCACTGTTTCCAAGCATTTCCAACTCATTTAATCTTCTATGAAGTAGAACCGTTATTA